AAAAAATATTAATATTTAAATTATTAAATAAAAATAAAAAATAAAAAATGCAAATAGAGAAAACATATAAAAATAAAAAATTATACTAATATTTTAATAATGAATTTTTAAATTTTAAATGAAAATAAAAAATAAATGATTAAAAATGTAAAAAAAATTTACTTAATTTTGTCTTTTGGTGTAAATTTTACTAAATTATATAAAGAGTATTTTTTTGATAAAAAAAGAATTTAATTTTTTTATTATATATATAGAAATTAATATTTATATTTAAAAATTACTTAAATTTATTAATATTTTAATCATAATAATATTTTTATATAAATATATTTTAATTATTATATTTTAATATTAAAATAAAATATAAAATAACTAATTATATATATAATAAAAGACATTGTTATCTTTTAATCACTTATTTCTCTATTATTTTAAAATTATTTTTACCAATCAAATATTACAATAAGTCATAATAGTAAAACTGAAAATAACATCAAATTAAAATTCTCATAAATCATTTTTACACTATTGATAGTTAATTTGAATTACTACTCATTCTCTTTAAAAATTATTTTTACAACATAATGCTATACATAGAATAATGAGAACAATTAAAATAAATGAAACTTTACTTCATGCAAAATAACTAAAACAAGTAAAACATTATTTTTCACAAAACAACTAGAACAAGTTAAGTATTACTTCACATAGAACAATTAATATAAGTAAAGTAATTATTTTGAACGGAATGACACTTCAGACGGATAATAGTCAAAGCAACTCAAAATAAATAGTAGAATTTAACTTGGTAGCTTGGATATGGAGATAGTGACAAAGTCTTTTTCTTAACATTTTATTGAAATATAAAGTGTTTCTCCTTTTTATTTTATTCTCGTGTACTTATTTACGTACATTTTTTTCTTTTATATCTATTCACAGACACTTTTTTTTCTTAACTTGTTTTCATATATACCTTTTTTCTATTACTTTTTATTTGAGAATAAGTCTTATTATACCCTATTACTCCAATGGTTATATAATGAATTTCTAACTATTACTCAATATATGTAATAAAATCACTTTTTTAACATCTACATAATTAGTTACAATAACAAATATTGGCATTAAAGTGTTTTATAATAATATCATTTATTACGTATATTAAAACTTATTTTTAAATAATCGTCATTTCTAACACTATATATAGAGCTTTTACAATTCTTTACTTATTCTGTTTCTCCTATCACAATATTAAATACTTCAAAAACTATTTCGATCCTCTTTTACGTCACTTTCGATACATTTTTTTTTTTTGCAATGCTTCCTCTCCTTTTTTATAAAAACCCCTTTACATACACGGATATAAAAGCATAATGAATTGGCACTTTTGAAGCAGGAGAAAGAAGAGATGGCAGTTCAAAAGAAGCAAGCGGAGGTGCGACCAGTGGGAACTCTTGTTCAATTCTAAATCTTATTTTTTTTTTTTTATGAAAAGTAAAAAATGTTGAGTTCTTGAATCTAGAATTTAATCTTCCATTTCACATTTTCATTATTGAATTACAGTATTGCTTTATAGCCTATATGACAAGGATTAGCTACTTGGTTTTTTTTTTTTTTTTAAATACTTGAACTGAAAATTCTTTGATTCATTTTTCTATTTTGATTAATTGACTCAAACTGTTATTATAAAAACCTCTAGATAATGGAAATGTGCTTTGATACTGTTATTTCCTTACACTGTTATTACTCAATTCAATGATAAAATATATATTAAAATTATTTAACTATTCGAAATGAATTTTAAATAAAATGACTAGTTTGATTGAAAATGGACAAAATCATTTTTCATATTCATCTCATGGAAATGGAACAATAAACATTTATGTCAAACTGTTAAAAAATTAAAATTTTAATAAATTTAGAAATTAAAATAGAAAAGTAATAAATTTATCCCGTGGCATGAGGCTGCTCGAGCCTACTGACGAGAGCGCCTTGCCTCAATTAAATGCCTGGCTGCCAAGCCCAAGAAGATTGGAGAAAAGGAGAAGAAACGAAAAAAAGAGTCCAATTTGCAAAAAGAAACAGGCTCATATTCAGCCCAATTCGCTTACATACAGCATCTATACTTCTCTAGACAAAACGGTGCCCGCCCCCCTGCTTACAACCTGGTTGAAGTATCCAAAACCTCCCATAGTTCCACTCTAAACCTCTCTATTTCCTTTGTTTTTGTTGTTCTTCAGTGCGTCAAGGTTTGTTCTTCTCCTTTTTCTTTTACCTGCCTTATGTTATCTATTTTGGCCTCTTCATTTAGATTCACAGATTTTTTAATGTTTTCTCTTCTGAACAAAAAGCTTTTGTTTATGTGTTTCATGACTTGCCTTGTTGAAAAAGAGCTTGAATTTGCGTTGTTTCTTGCTCCTTTTTTTATTTTTGTAGAAGAACTTTCTTAATTTAACCCAGAAATGGAATATAATAATTGAAGAGTTTACGAGATCTCTAGTTAGAGAAAATTTTCTGGGTTTAGTGCAAATGAGCATTTTATTTAGATAGGCTGAGCATAGGCTTCAATTTTGGACTTTAATGTTATTAATTTGGTCAATAAGCTTAAAAAGTTTAAAATATCAGATATATTTTTTGTTGATACTCCTTGGATTTTGATGTTGAAGCATGCCAACAGGTTTGGTTTGTATTTAAGTTGTGTTCTTTTGGGTCCATTTGTGTCCAAATCTTAGTAGAATTCAATCAGGTCTTGTTTTATACTTTAGTTTATTTGTTTTGAATTTACTGATTTTTTGCAATGTGGGCAGACTTAGGAATTTAAGCAATGGATGATAACTTGTATGATGAGTTTGGGAACTACATTGGCCCCGAGATTGAGTCCGATCAGGAGAGTGAAGGCGAGGAAGAAGAAGAAGAAGAAGAATTCCCTGACAGGCATGCCCAAGAGGAGGGAGAAGAATCTGATGGTGAGGCTCCACCTGGTGCATCTAATGGATGGATTACAGCTGCTAATGATGTTGATATGGATAATCAGATCGTTCTCGCTGAGGACAAGAAGTATTACCCCACTGCTGAAGAGGTTTATGGTGAGGATGTTGAGACCTTGGTTATGGATGAAGATGAGCAGCCTCTTGAACAACCCATTATTAGGCCTGTTAAGAATATCAAGTTTGAGGTTGGAGTCAAGGATTCTTCGACTTATGTGTCGACCCAGTTTCTTATTGGTCTGATGTCGAATCCGGGTTTGGTCCGCAATGTTGCCCTTGTTGGACACTTGCAGCATGGGAAGACTGTGTTTATGGACATGTTGGTTGAGCAAACCCACCATATGAACACGTTTGATGAAAATAGTGAGAAGCACATGAGATACACTGATACGAGAATTGATGAGCAAGAGAGAAGGATATCTATCAAGGCAATCCCAATGTCTCTTGTCCTTGAGGACAGTAACTCAAAATCCTATCTCTGTAACATCATGGACACTCCGGGTCATGTGAATTTTTCTGATGAAATGACTGCTGCTCTTAGGCTTGCTGATGGTGCTGTGTTAATTGTTGATGCTGCTGAAGGAGTGATGGTAAGTGTATCTTTGATGCATATCATTTTAGTTTGCATAATAATGATCCATTTACTTTGGCCTTCTTTTAATGCCTATGCTTGAGATCAGCCTAATTCATGCCTGGAAATGGGAAATGTTTTATGAATATTTGGAGGTAGACATAAGAGTATAGAATGAACTCCAAAGAGAAGGAGTATTCTGAGACCTATTGCAGTTAAATTATGAGTCAAATCTTTTTCAAATCAACTTCTTTACCAATTGTTGAACTTGGGTTTCTACATGGTATAGCTGCTGTTCATAGAATGGAGAACTAACATAGAGCTGTTCAGAGTGATACTTATGCCTTACTGTTGTGAACAGGTAAACACTGAGAGAGCTATACGCCATGCAATACAGGAGCGCCTACCTTTTGTAGTTGTAATAAACAAAGTAAACACTTTTGACCTTAATGCTTCATATATCTCTTATAAGTTTTTTGTTGGAAATGATGTTCCACCACTTTCTTGTGCTTATACTTTTTTAATTTTTTAAGGTTGACAGGCTGATAACAGAACTTAAGTTGCCTCCCAAGGATGCATACCATAAGCTAAGGCATACCCTGGAAGTAATCAATAACCATATATCTGCCGCCTCTACAACCGCTGGTAGTGTTCCAGTTGTTGATCCTGCTGCTGGAAATGTTTGTTTTGCTGGTGCCAGTGCAGGATGGTCCTTCACTTTGCAGTCTTTTGCAAAATTATATGTCAAACTCCATGGAATTCCATTTGATGCTGAGAAGTTTGCATCTCGTCTTTGGGGAGATATTTATTATCATCCTGATACGAGGGCTTTTAAAAGGAAACCCCCTGCAGGTGGAGGAGAACGATCATTTGTTGAATTTGTGCTTGAACCCCTTTATAAGATATATAGCCAGGTGATTGGTGAACATAGGAAGAGTGTGGAGTCAACTCTTGCAGAGTTGGGTGTCACACTTAGCAATGCTGCTTACAAGTTAAATGTAAGGCCTTTACTAAGGCTGGCTTGCAGTACGGTTTTTGGGTCAGCCTCAGGCTTCACTGATATGCTGGTTCAGCACATACCATCTCCCAAGGATGCTGCAGCTAAGAAGGTTGATCACGCATATACAGGACCTAAACATTCTATGATTTACAAAGCCATGGTTGATTGTGATCCTTCTGGCCCCCTAATGGTTAACGTGACCAAACTATATCCCAAGTCAGATTGTAGCGTTTTTGATGCTTTTGGTAGAGTTTATGGTGGTAGAATTCAAACAGGGCAGACTTTGAGAGTGCTGGGAGAAGGCTATTCACCAGATGATGAGGAGGACATGACAGTAAAAGAAGTAACTAAATTATGGATCTACCAAGCACGATATAGAATACCCATAAGCAGTGCTCCTCCTGGTTCTTGGGTTCTCATTGAAGGTGTTGATGCTTCAATTATGAAAACTGCCACCCTCTGTAATGTGGATCTTGATGAAGATGTGTATATATTCCGGCCTTTACAGTTTAATACACTTCCTGTTGTAAAAACAGCTACTGAGCCTTTAAATCCTAGTGAGTTGCCCAAAATGGTGGAAGGGCTTCGGAAGATCAGCAAAAGCTATCCTTTAGCTATTACTAAAGTTGAGGAATCTGGTGAGCACACTATATTAGGTACTGGAGAGTTGTACTTGGACTCAATTATGAAGGACCTTAGGGAGCTCTATTCCGAGGTGGAAGTTAAGGTATTTAGTTTTTCATACTCCTTGTACTAGTTTGATTTTATTTCTTTCTGAAATTCATTTCTCTATCATAAGGGATGTGCTTTGAGTTAATATGTGTGCTTTCACTTCTTATGCTTTCCCCCTAATATAGGTGGCAGATCCTGTTGTCTCATTCTGCGAAACAGTGGTAGAGTCTTCATCAATGAAATGCTTTGCTGAAACACCCAACAAGAAGAATAAAATAACCATGGTAAGACTGCCATCAATTTTCATTATATCTAGATGCTTTTAGGAATAATTACTAGTAGTACTTGCTTTCAGGCTGTTTGATCACATACCTTTCCACGATTTTTAAGATTGCAGAGCCATTGGAGAGAGGTCTTGCTGAGGACATTGAGAATGGTGTTGTAAGTGTTGATTGGAGTCGGAAGCAACTTGGTGACTTCTTCAAGACAAAATATGACTGGGATTTGCTTGCTGCACGTTCCATCTGGGCATTTGGCCCTGATAAGCAGGTGACAAAAGTGCAAACTTTTGTTGTTTCTGACTTAATCCCTGACTTGGTGATCCTAACTTGTTCTTCCTGGTTGTAAAGAGCAGAAAAAATGGAATTCAAGTCTTAGTAATTGGTAACTCTGGTTAATGTATGCTGTTATTGCAAATCTTGTTTTGCAGGGACCTAATATTTTATTAGATGATACACTCCCTACGGAAGTTGACAAGACATTGTTGGGTGCTGTCAGGGATTCTATTGTCCAAGGGTAAGATTATATCTTGCTTTCCCGTCTTCTAAGTAGTTAATCTACTGCCTGTGATTAATGATTTCACATTTGGCTGAACAGGTTTCAGTGGGGTGCTAGAGAAGGACCTCTCTGTGATGAACCAATTAGAAACGTCAAGTTCAAAATAGTAGATGCAAGGATTGCATCTGAGCCATTGCATCGAGGATCTGGACAGATCATCCCCACAGCTCGACGTGTGGCCTATTCAGCTTTCCTTATGGCGACCCCACGACTTATGGAACCTGTATATTATGTGGAGGTATGTTCATTCCACTTCAATGATATTCCCCGTGGCTTCTATTTCTCCCTTTAGGGGGCGTATTATACTGGACCCAGGATCAATCTCTGGCTCCAGCCCCAGTAAATAAGCAAAAGAAACGAGATAATACTGCAAACCAAGGTAGACCGGATGCAGTTGCTCA